CATGTACACATGGGATAATATGTTAGGACCATAGTGAGCTGAAGCCTAGGGCAAAGTAAAAAATAATTATTTTCTTAAGATATTATTTTAAAAAAATTCCATCTAGGCCACTCCAAATTTTTCTAAAGCTCAATCCAATTTTTCAGCCTAGCCCATAAAACAAAACCTAACCATCTAAAAATATAATCTAAATGTATATGCATCACCTCCCACTTAATATGTACGTATAGGGGCCATAAAACCCATAAGGCATAAATGTAAAAAATACAATAAAATATGACTCAATTATAAGCTTGATTGGCATGTTCACAACAACATCTAAAGTGCTTGAGTATCTTCATGAACACTGCCCAAAAGTGAGTTCTCGGGCAAAAGTTCGTAGTGTATATAGACACTTTCCATGTTTTGAATTTGTGTTCAATTTACTTTAGATGCACAAAGTTATGGAATAACAAGTATATATTCTCTGTCAAGACCTTCAAAAAAAATTATTGGATATCTTAGTAGCCATGAGACATGGTTCTACTACACAAATTATTCTCGGGGAATTGACAAACAATGGATGAGAATGCTTTCCTGAAGAAGTAAAGGAGTTTTACTCAAAACACCAAATTCATGTACCAGAGTTGAATTCTAAATATATGGTCGTTGCCGATAAGAAAGTACACTTGAGCATCATTATCACTTTGATATTTTCAATGGGGCAATAGACTTTATATTGATGGAGTTAGGGACCCGGTTTAATGATAAATCAGTGAAACTCCTTTCTTTAAGTGCTTCATTGGATCCCAAAAATCATATGAGTCGTTCATCAATGTCGAAGCTATTTGTACTCTTGCAAGGAGTTCTATCCCCAAGATTTTAGTAGTCAGCTTGGGACATGCTTCACGGTTTGGCCGAAGGAGTCTCACTGCCATGGATGGTGATTGGTGATATGAATGATATTATGTATGAGTCGGAGAAAAAAGGAAGAATATTGACGTGCACTTTGTCGTGGTGTGCACTTCAAAATAAATATTCAATACAACAAACATACGTAGTATATTGAAGTAAGGTTCGTATCCACGGGGAAAAGAATACTTTTCTTTTTATATAACTAGTAATAAGTAACAAGGTGGGTTTTAAGTTTGATTTGATTAAATTTAATTAACACTAAGATGAACGACTTATGTGGTTTACTTAATAGAGATGAAGACTTGGTTTTGCTTTTATCCACTTAATGAAATGTTCGTCGATCCCGGCTATATCTTTAACTATCTTCCTCTCGAATACTCAATCGAGGAGTATATCCAGTTCATCGAGGGTAATTATTAATAACGAGACACGTTCATTAATAAAACCTACTACCGAGTTAACATAGAACATGTGCCGTATATTAACCCGATAGTAGCAATGAAATTAAGATGAAAACGATTGAGATTGATAACCTCAACACAAGCGATTTATTGGTTTAATCAATATATATAATTAATTCCCCTTAGGTTATTAACCATGAGACACATGCATTAATAACCCAAGTTTACTACCATGAAAGGACCGAATTAATAACAAGCGTATTAATCGATCGATTCTAGTATTAATTAATATATGAAACAAAACTAGTTGATCCTTTAAGTAATGCTCAAAACAATTCTTTTTTTTTTGCAAACACTCCCTTAATGCTTCAAATTTGGAAGAGTATTGGTTTGTGTGCACACCATCCGAGGCATCCCATCCCAGCAATCCAATCAAACTTTAACATTGAAGACATGGTTGAAAATCCTTTAATTTCTGACGGGCAAGCATTGCGATTTATGCCTCGATTTTAAGTCTTTAACCCATATTCTTGACTAAAAATGGCCAAGTGATCGAATTCCACTTCTTTTTATATATAGTAAGATGTTTTTATGTATTAATATATTGAACATACCTCCCCATGATAAAATTTGAACCATGGAGTCGTGCTCAACAAATTTATAATTAATTTAGTACTCCAGTGTAAATGTGTGATAAATTATTAGTCATTAAAAGAATAAAAGTTTGTTGAGAAATCTTCTATGGAGCCATTAAGCTGAGGCTTATCGATAATGTTCCTATTTGTTGGTGCAATCAATATTAATGAATTTCCCACAATTTTTTCTAATAGTGTTGAGTTTAGTGTACAGGGCCAGGTTCCGTTGAGAACACTTCTTTCTGTGAAAAATGAGAATGACCCAAAATGATGCTTGTAATGGTACACAGAGGTGCATATTTATGATTAAAACTGCAACATTCAACTGCATATTTGTGGTTAAAAATGCACAACTCAAAAATGCATTTTATAATTTATTGCACATTTCTGTTTTACATAACACACAATACTCAAATTTAACGCATCAGGATCATTCTCATTTCTCTCCTAAAACTATTTTTGAGATATAAGAGGGTGTTTGGAACTGATTCTGCTTCTGCTTCTTTTTTAAAGTAGAAGCAGAATCAGAATCAGTTTTCAGAAGCTGGTACCCCCCCAGCTTCTAAAAAACTGATTCTGAGAGTAAATTAGAGCACCAGAAGTGCTTCTGGAATTTCACCCAAACACTCAAGCTTCTGCTTCTGCTCCTTGAAGAAGCAGAATAAGTTTTGAGAATCAGATCCAAACACCCCCTAAATATGAAGTTGAATACAACTTTAATTTTGTATAAGATAAGACCAGTTAAACAAAAGACTTGAAAATAAAGAGGATGAATGTATGAAGCTAGGTTCCTCACAAGTGTCGTATGAGGGGATAATGGAATTGTCCATGAGGTTTATGCTCCATGCATGCGTCAATAAAGAGGGTGTAGTTAAAAGAAACTCGATATACTTAATAGTTGTGATGAATGTCATTTAGAATATTTTTTGCTTTCTTAACTGTGAATAGACATGGGATAATGCCGTTTACGGGAAACATACTAAATGAAGTACCGCATAAGATTGTTGATGAAAATTATAACACATTTGGAAATGACAACCATTTAATTTACATTTTATAAAAATAGGGGGGTTGGAGTCCAATATTGCATGATTAGAAACATTGACTATAACTCCTTTGACGATGCATTGCTTATGTTTTCAAGTGATGAGACTACATATATGTATAGCGAACAATGTTGTCTTCTTTAAAACCTTTCAGTTCGAAGTCTAAACATGCATATACAATAATGCTTTGGGTAGTTAGAACACGTACTCAAAGAAGTAGTCCTAATGAAAATGTAACGATGGCTTGGATCAATTCAAGAAAGATAAAATAGAAATTAAGAGTTTTCATAACATCTATCTTACTGGTGTTGGAATATATAGATGAATTAAATGTGATTGTATAGATTAAATAAATGAGGATTTTATTTATTAATACATTTATATATTGGAAGAATGGAGGAAGTTCTATTTGGCAACAAGTTATATGGGTGATTATTTCAAGAATGACGCCACAGGCATTGAGTTGGGGTCAACCATTGCACTCCAATAGTAGGTTCAACCTTAGAAAATGCACCTTAAGTCAATGTTCATCACCAAACATGCAAAGTGATATATTATTCTTTAACCATAACCCTGCTTAAAGGGAAGAGAAGAAATTTTTCTTGACCTCATAGGCCATCACATTCCTCCCGAGACTAAACCAACTAACTCTCGTGACTATTCTATATTAAAACAAGCATAATAGTTAAAGTAGAAATGAAAGTGACAAATGTAACTATTGAAAGTTTGATATCTAGTCATCAATTCAATGACATTCTTACCACTAGACTAATTCAATTGCAAGCATAACCCACCCTGGAGGTCCACCATCAATCCAACCCAAATCACTTTCCTACCCCTGGTTAGTCCCCCCTAGACAGGTCGTGCAATGCTGCAAGCAATGGTAGGGGACATATGATGGTTGGTGACAATTTAAGAGGACAGAGTGGCGCTCTCGGTTTTATTAGGAACAACAACAAGGGAGATAGATTCGTGATGGAACAAAAGCATCTTTGTGCGTGTGATGGAAGTGGAACAAGTTGGGCCAAACAACATGAAGGGGCGAGCTCTGCCCAACAAAACCGCCTTGATTTGTCAGCATTTCAAGTTTTCATTTTGGCCAAGATTTTTCTTAGTTTTATATTGACCTTTATGCTGGCTCAATTTGTAATTACTCTATTTTTTGTGTCATTGTGTTGGACTTTAGTTGCAGGTGCCTCTAGTACACGTTATTTGGGAGTTAAGGGACTAGTTATATCACTCTTGACTTAAACATACTTGTCAAGTGGTCAACTAGTCATTTTGTTTTCATTAGGGTGATAGTCTTTTTTCTGATCTCAAGTCAAGGTCATCAATATAAGGGTGTGTTTGATAGGATGTAAAGTAATTACTTGTAGACGTGAAATGTAGGAACATAAAAAGTTTACATTGTTTGACTTGATTATTTGATGCAAACTGTATGACATTTTTTAAAAACATCTCACAATGTACCATGTAAAGTATTATTACAGTGGAGGAGAGTGGTAAAATACTATGTATGTTTTTATAAAGCATTGCAATGACTTTACGCATAACTTAATAATAAGTTACACATTTAGCTAAATAATGTAATACTTCCTCTGTTACAAAATTATCTTCAAACTTTCATTTTTTGTCCGTTCCAAAATTATCTTATCTTTCCATTTTGGCACAGAATTTGTGATTCATAACATTTCTTACACATTTCTCTTTTCTCTCCACAACTCTCAATCACATAATACCACTATCTTAATCCTCGTGCCATTTGTATTCCAGGAGATAAGCATGCGACAAGGGGAGTATATTTTACATGTAATTGTTTCTCCAAACTTTGAATGCATTGATTTCACGTGCAAAGTACTAAACGAACTCTACATGTTAAATAGGAATTAGGAAGTACTAAAGAAACTTTGTAAACTTTCTTTTTATTAAAACAACTGTAGTTCTATTCAAATTGACAAAATCCACAAAAAAAAATCCAAAATATATGAAAGGACTCAACTAGAAATACATGATCTACTCCCATAAAAAAATCCATAACAGTTCAAAGCCCTAGCCATAGTGTCAAAAGTTTTTGTCATTAAAGAGAGATTCTCTTGGCTCAAGCTCTCTAGAGACTAGAGAGAGGCTGTGTTAATGGAGTAAGGGGCAGGCAAATTCCTGCTAATATTTTTTGAAAATCTTTCCGGTTCTGGTCACATTTAGGGCATCCACCGCGATTCAATTTGAGGATCGACAGAGAGGATTGGCTTTCCGATGAGTCCTTTAGGGTTCAGGTCGGTGGTATACCATGGGGATGTGCGTTTGGGGGAATTGGACGTTGTACAATTGAAGGATCAGAAATTCCAGTTCCATAGCAATGAGATACGCATCCACCACATCTCTCCTAATAGCGAAAGATGTCACCCATTAGCTGTTTTGCAAACAATATCCGCCTCTGTTCGCTGCAAGCTTGAGCCCATCTCCGATTCAACCTACACTGCTATCGATCAGTCTCCACTGATCAATCTCCATGCATCGTGCTTCTACGAACTGAAGGTTGTTCATTCAACTCAGTGCAGCTATCCTGAATCATATCATATTCATTTACAAATGCCCCTCCTAGTTTTTTAGGAATGATTATTTTGAAATGCGTTAAATAATGCTCATTGATAATTGCTTAAGAGTTCTCTAAAATGGAATGATTGTTGGGATTGCCTAAGATTTGCTAGCTTATACACTAGCATAGTTTTCAACCTGTTTAGATGTTACTACAATTTGCAATCTAGCATTTAGTGTACTCCGCTATATTGAAGCAATTCTTCCGAAGTATCATTTAAGAATTTATGAGCTGAAGCATATGATGAGTCTGATGACTGTGCAAGTATGTGGAAATGCATGAAGTACTCGTTAAGTGTGCTAGTCAAAGACTCATTCTCTTTGAATTCTTTTTTCTCTGTTTGGTGTAGACAGCAGTGGTTTTAATAGGGGATGAGGAATTGCACTTAGTGGCGATGCCAAGCAAGCAGAAGAAATTCCCGTGTTTCTGGTGCTTCTCGGTGCCATCTGGTGTATATGATGCATGCTTGGTTATGCTGAATATGAGGTGTTTGGCTATCGTGTTTGATCTTGATGAGACATTGATTGTTGCAAATACAATGAAGTCTTTTGAGGACAGAATTGAAGCCTTACGGGCTTGGATAGCTAGAGAGATGGATCCAGTGAGAGTGTCAGGAATGTCTGCAGAGATGAAGAGGTATGCCGAGGATAGAGCAATGTTGAAGCAGTACACAGAGGGTGATTGTGTTTCGGATGGCGGAAAAACATATAATGCTCAGCAAGAGGAGGTGGTCCAGTTATCTAATGGGCATGAATGTGTTATTCGGCCAGTGATAAGATTGGAAGAAAAGAATATTGTCCTTACACGAATCAACCCAGAGGTTAAAAAATAAATATGCATTTTGTGTGTTGGTTTTACTTATTTTCTATCTTAAGTAAATAATATGTTCACACACATACATGTATGCATGCATAATTGATTATTCGCCGGAAATATCTCCTTTGTTCAAAATTGGCCATAATCGGAAGATCAAATATTTTTCAATATATTAATATAACACAACGTATTAGGATTAAATAATGGATTTCAATGACTAGAAAACGTTAAAAACATTACTTTGGCATCTGAGCGTGTATGCTCATTAGGTGTTATCCTAAATGTGTTATTTGCTCATGTAGAACCGTGACACTAGTGTGCTAGTCAGACTACGACCTGCTTGGGATGATTTGAAAAATTATTTGACGGCTAAGGGTAGAAAAAGGTTTGAAGTTTATGTTTGTACCATGGCGGAGAGAGATTATGCATTGGAGATGTGGAGGTTGCTTGACCCTGGTGCACATCTTATCAGCTCACAACAACTATTGGACCGCGTTGTATGTGTCAAATCAGGTTTGTACTATGCCCCATTAATTCTTTTATTTCTTATTGGCTGCTTCATGAATCCACGTGGATCTCCTTCTACATTTTTGAAATTTCTTTTAATTCACTACTAACTTGTGGGTAGAATTCACATAGGATGTATGACATTAAAAAGACGATCTGAATTCAAAAATATGTTTGGTTGTCCATTTTTTTACCTCATTGGGATTCGAATCACAGAATGTGGCTGGAGTGATTCTTTTAGCTGCTGATTGATATAACCAACTTGTGTGGGTCAGAATGACATTTCGAGAAAGAAATGGTAATGGTAGATAAGTAGATTTGCTTTAGTTTTCATTTTTTGTTGCTTCCAAAGCACCAATACCTTTTCAGCTGTCATCAGTACGATGAGTAATGAGTTCTGCTTACGTCGACTAGGGACGAGGAACGTATGTAGAGAAAAAGAGACCCTTAGAGGGGGTTGGAGAGAAAGAAGAGTACTGAGGACCTAGGGTTCTGAAAGGAAATCATGGACAGCCAACTTGTCTTTTTCATTTTTTTATCTATTGCAAGTCGCGGAATATTTAAAAAAGTTTAAGAATGATTACTGATTTGTTGTAATTCCAATCTTTATACAATCAACCACTCTACTTTCACCAAAACTTACTCCAGTCACTAAGGGGTTGTTTTGGAATGTTTAAATTTTATGTTTCATATTTTCTATTTTCAAATTTTTGTTTATGTTTTGATGTTGTTTATTTTTTTAAATATCAGAAACATAAAACATGTTCGATAGATCTGTTATATTATTTTGATTTAAATAATTAATTACAAAAGTACAAGATCTTCAAAAATTATTTTACATGTTTTATAAATAGTGAATATCAGAAACATGTTCCCAACAATGGAAATATCGAAATCATGTTTCACACTCCCTCTGTATTTATGTAGTAGCAACTATAGGCGTCTCATAGAGTTTAAGAGTGAAATAGTAGGGGTATTGAATAGTGGAAAATCAGTGTTAAGACTAAGGAGCAGGAGAAGAGAGATGAAAAAGTAAGAGTACTTGTGTATTTGTAGATGAAAAACTCACCAAAATAGGGAAGTGTTGCAAGTAATAAAATATTTCCGAAAAAGGAATTTGTTGCAAGAGTTCTATTGTTGTTTCCCCCCCCCCCACCCCACTAAAGGTGGGAGCCTATGCGGCACTGGGGTAATGATGATGAGTTATGTTGTTGTTTTTGTAGACTGAATGTAAACGACATAATCAAACACCCTTTCCAGTTTTCCTGTTTTTTTAATGAAAGGGTGAAAAATTAAAATAACAGAAAGCATCACAACACTTAAAATTTAAATCTGTTTTAAATCCGATCTTCATACCAAGCACCCACTTTGATTTCTATTTGCTCTTCTATAGCTGTATCTATATGTATTCGATCCATTTATGTCATACTGTGATTATGGTATCACTTAATATTTTTATATTACTCAGGTGCCAGGAAGTCTTTGCATAATGTCTTCCAAGGTGGCATTTGTCACCCAAAATTAGCCATGGTAATTGATGATCGCATAAAAGTGTGGGAGGACAAGGATCAACCTCGTGTTCATGTCGTCCCTCCCTTTACGCCATATTATGCTCCTCTGGCTGAGGTGCGTGCTTAATATTTTGAGGTTGTTTCTACACACCGCCATAATTTTTGGAACGTTTAGAATAATTAATCTTTTTCTGTTGTAGATAGCAAATGTTGTCCCAATTCTGTGTGTTGCTAGAAATGTTGCATGTGATGTTCGAGGGCGTTTCTTCAGGTATTCTGTTTTGATTGTTGCATTATATGCTTTTGGTTTAGCAATATTTTGCATCTAAAAGCATACTTCTACTCAGTGGCAGAGCCAGAAATGTCATATTAGGGGGAGGATGAGTTTAAAATTTTGATACAGGGGAGGGGGGATATTTGTGCGGGTGCATGCACTACATTACTGGGGAGGGGGGGGGGGGGGGGAGCCACTGCCTCTCCTTGTATCCACCACAACTTCCAGTTTATCTTCAACAACCGTCACACTCACACCCACTGTCTAGCATTTTTTTTTTGTCAATGTGCACTTTATATTTTCTTGTATTACAACACATCAATTTTAACATATACTGTATGCATATACATCTCCGCTGACGCCCATATTCTCTTTATTAAATCAATAAATCTTTCTTCAGTTGCCTTGCATTCGAATGTGTTAAATAAATCATGTCGTATAATAGTCTCGTATGTACATTACAATAATACGGTCATATTTTGTCTTTCATTTCCATTTTAGGCAACCTGTATTAACCCTATGTGTCACATCTTTGTCAAAATCTCCATTTCTATGCACAATAGATCCTAAAGCCCGAAGCAATTGCTTACTTATAGGCTAATGGCACTTCCCAATCAAATTTCAATCACTTTACTTTTTTTTTAAAACCTGTGCTGGTCCTAAATTTGCACTGTAGTACCCTGTTTACTTCAAATTATCTCAAAGCCTCAGGATCTCATTAACTCCATAAGACCTTGAGAAGTAAATCAAATAGTTGATCAAGACATTTCTAAAACACTTCTCACCCAGGAAAAACTTCTAGGTTTTTACTAAACAATACCAATAATACTGTAGTTATTAATCATTTAGAGTACTAATATATCCCTACCGGATAAATTATAACCCTACCTCTCACATATCAGTTTCCAAATCTGTTTACTAATGCTCTCTCCGAAGCCCTACACTCCAGTTTCACCCATGGCTTCCATCTCTTAGATTCTTGAAGTGCACAGAGAAATTTCTACATTAGGTACACAGCCACGAGGATCCTATGCAAAGCTAACAAAGAAACCCACAAGCAATCAAGCATACTTATCAGTATTTCTAGGTGGCTTTGAATTTAAATAAGTTTGTCCAATAAATCATATCATGCAACCTCGGACTCGACTACAATAGTGCAACCTCACAGCTCAATCTCACATGCTATTCATCTTGTTATCATATTCATGTTCATAACAATATTTTTTTCTATATTAATAAGAGAGTTTGATGAAGAGCTATTACGACAAATTTCCGAAATATTCTACGAGGATGAGGTGGTAAAGCTTCCCTGTGCACCTGATGTTAGCAATTATCTGATAACTGAGGTATTATTGAGTAAGCTTAATTCTTTTCTTTTTTCATAGGTAGTTGAGGGTTAATTTTAATACTTGGGTACTCTACACTTTACAGGATGCTGGTTTTCCATCCAATGGCAATATTCCAATCGCTGAAGGAGTAAATGGCCCTGAATTTGCTCATAGATTGAATCAGCAGGCATTACTTCATTTTTTTTTTCTCACAAGTTTAAATTCTGCCCATTGTGTTTGACTTGAGTTCTTTCCAGTTACTTGTGTGCTCGTAGCTCTTACTGTTGTCATGGCTTCCTTTTATGTAGGAAGTGAAGAATAATGTAAATCATGTTACAACTTCGGTTCATAGTAATCCAGAGCTTAAAACTGAAAGCTCTCAGTCTCTATTAGGATCACCTCCAAATACATCCACCACACCTTCTATTAGAGGAGCTCTACCTTTAGAAAGTAAGCACAGCATACATATATTATTTCTGCCCTTAAATCGTTATATGAAAGATGTTATATGAAAGACACCAGAAACATTTCATACTTGCTAACAATTTGTAATATATTTTATAAACCTTCTATATAGAACCTAGTTTACTTGGAGCTCCGCTTGTATGGGATAAAAGCTTTTCAGAAGCAGATCCTGATTGGAGGAGAAGGTTGCCCATATTGAACCATAGCCAAGATGTCAGGTTTCGGGGTTCAGCTGAGCCTCCTCTTCTATCTAGAGTGCCTCAGAAAATTCCAGGACTTCCCTTACAATCGCAGGGCACCTTGTCTGTGGATGGTGAAGCAATCAGTGGACATTTAAGCAATCTAGCACCGGGAAGTATCCAAGGCAATGATGCATTTAGGCTTGATAAACCACGAAGTCGTCAAACTTTGACATCACATTTATCTGCAACAAAGAGTGAAGAGGTAGATATGCTCTTGTCCATAAACTAGTTCTTAATGTGTTAATTGATTTTCCTCTACTGACAATTATGTTCTGAATCTCTTTCTATGATTATGCAGGCAATTTCAAAGATTGATATGCATGAGCAGAGTAATCCCAATCAACTCAGTAGAATTTGGAAAAATACCCCCCCCTCTTCTTTTGTTATTCACATTTGCTGTTTTTTATTATCTTCTTAATGGAGAGTTAATATTTCTTCGTGTAGAGACTGGCATCTCTTCAAACCAGACCTCTTCCATTAATAGGGAGCCACAAACAGAAGCAGGCAAACCAAGCTACTTGCCATCTCTCACCGTTGGAGTGCTGCAAGAAATTGGAAGAAGATGCAGCTCAAAAGTACGCCCCGCCCATTGTTGCAAAGAAACATTACTGTTTTTGAAGAAGCTGTGATTTTTTTTGCCGCGCTGCAAATGATTATCATGTGGTTATTTTACTCTGTGTAGGTCGAGTTTAGGCCTGTTATCAGTACTGGTGATGAACTGCAGTTTTCTGTCGAGGTTAGTACACTGCTATTATTTTCTTTATTCCGTATTTCCAGTAATATGTTGAATCGACTGATATAGCAATGCCTGATCCAGTGTGAAACGTCAGGCTTAGGTAAGTCTGACAGAGACAGTAGGTACTGCTTGAGCATGACTACAAGCTTATACTCTCACCTTCTCACCCGTTCCATTCTTGAGTGTGTTGTAGCTCCGTTTCTTTAAGTGCAGTGGATGTGAGGAAGCGGTCCAGCCCAGCTTGTCGCCAACTCACTCTCCCTTATGGGAGGTCCCTGGTTCAATTCTCAGTGGAGTGGGATTGATCCCAGTTTACCCCAGGCCCCCCAAACCCCCCTCCCCCGACGCCCCCTAGGGTTAAAAAAAGCAGTTGATGTGACCCATAGAATAGTTTACTATTTCCAACTGGAGATGCAAATTGCAATCATGCAATGATAATATCTGTGGTTGGAAACTTAAGATCTTTATCAAACATTCTAGGTACTCTTTGCTGGTGAGAGAACTGGTGTTGGTATGGGTAAAACAAGAAAGGATGCTCAGCAACAGGCAGCTGAGAATGCCCTGCATAACTTGGCTCGTAAGCTCCCTGTTCTGTTTTCCTACATTTATGTAATTGTCATAGGTAGGTTTTTGTATCTGGCTCTGCCAGAAGGACAAAGAAAATATGTAAAAGCACTCATGAACATCCACACACAACTGAAATTTATTTGTCTTGGAGAATGGTTTATGAATATATGATTTTTATTATTCTGTCACTGCTCCTATTATTAATTAGAAGATTAGAAATTCTGTTACTCAGTTATCTGTAATTGTACTTTACCTTGAAATACAGAGAAATACATCTCTCATGTTGAATCTCATAATGGAGTGGTAGATAAAGATTTTGGTCAGATTTCTGCTGGAAATGAAAATGGTTTTTTATTCGATTCACCAAGTCCTGGAGATGGAAGGCTAGAGGAGGGTACATTGCCAAAAGATAACAACTAAGTTGCTGGGCTTCCTGCTGACACTGCTTGCGATTGGTTGTCTCTCTGATCATTGGCATAGATGTTTGTTTCGATATGTGGGGCAATGCTTATTGGATATAATCAGCTCTGAAATTTTGTTACACCATAGTAGATGGCAAAATGGGGAATGGTGAATGGGCTGGCATTCACATTCTTGTTTACCTCTGCTAATCTGGGCTATATATGCGTCATATATTTCAAGCTTGGAGGTAAGGCCTTTGGTCATTTCCTACAGCACTTACCCCTTATCCAAGAATTCTTACCATGTTCACACCCAGACGTGGTGCATTATATTTTGAACAAATTGCGAGTGTAATTACAGGTGCATGAAGTGACCCTTTAGTTGAATCTCCCTCATTGTCAAATACAACCTTAAAGGGAGCCAGTACTCCATTCCTTGATGGGAAACATGATTTTGTCACACGGTGTCATCAACTTTGCCGGACTTGCATACCTGGAATCAATTTCTAGATTGCAGTCATGAGTGAGTAGGTTTCATAAAGGGTGCAGTTGATTCTGCTTCTGCCGAGTTTGTAAGACTCATCATCCATACCGTAAGCATGAATGCTTTGGCAGAGAATAGTTAGAGGGCTGCTTCAGAATGTGGTGGATGGTGGACTAGAAATTTTGGGATTTGTTGCCATTTGAATGTAACTTAGTTAGTAGTAGTATTAGTTAGCACATGACACTTCAATATGGGCGTTTTTTGTGCCCGTTTTGTAACTATTATTTATAGTCTAATCTAACATTCTAACCGATTCTCAAATTGTAAGTTTGATACCGGGTGAGGAGGTGCCGTGCAGCTAAAAATACACTTCTTTTTTTGGTTTGGTGGGAGGAGGGGTGGGGGAAGGGGGCACTACAGATACCGGGTGAGGAGGTGCCGTTTACATCTCTCATGTTGAATCTCATAATGGAGTGGTAGATAAAGATTTTGGTAATGAGACACATGTCTATTGAAAAAAGGTATGATACCCCATCTCCAAGGGTTCAACACCGATTGGACAATTAGTTGGGTGGAAAACGGTGCTATTGAAATTTTGATTGTTTGTACATTCCACTGCTAAACGTGATATACAATAAATAGAAGCATTTGGTACAGTGTTGATGCAACACCAAAGTGACCAACTCACCATGTGTTACTCCATTATGTGGGAAAAAATAAAAGATGAAAAGCATGAGTTAAACTAAACTTATGGATATTGTTGCAAGATTTAGGGTGGTAATTGTAGGAGTGGACTTGGGCCGGTTCGGGCCTGGGCCCGGCCGGGCCTCGGTTCAGGAAAGGGGAGGCCTGGAATCGGCCCGGGTAACCCCTGGGTCCGGGCCGGGCCTCGGTTCATTTTTTTTTTTTGCCTTTTCCTAATTAACCCCTAACCCCTCCCCCCCAAACCATCTCAAATGACCCAAAATACCCAACCCAACCCAAAAACTTAAAAAAATTAAAAAGAAAAAAGAAAAAAAAAAGCCCGAACCGGCCGGGCCGGTTCACGTTTTGAGGGGCCCGAGCCCGGACCGGAACCCCAGCGGGTCGGGCCTACCCGAACCGGTCACTGACCGGGCCACCGCGCCAGGCCGGAACAGTGCCGGTTCGGGCCAGTTCCGGGTCGGGGCACCCGGCCCGAGTCCAGGCCTAGGTAATTGAGTGAGTTGAGTTTGGCTTCGATCTAGTTATCCTTGATAAGAAAACCTTGGTTTGAGTTAGAATTGAGTTTTAGACATGTCAAGAAATATTTAACTTGACAAGTTTGAGTTGTATTTGAGTTTTATCTATTTTAAAAAGTGAAACTAGTATAATTTAAAACAAAGGGTTTGATTCGTGATACGTTTAAACACACATGTGCAATCATTGATAATTTTTTAACATAGTCTTTGTTTTAAAATTCTTTGTGTAGTTGTCTAGACATTAGTGCTCTCTTTGACGTTTACGATTTACTTAAATCTAAGATGAATTAAATTCAATTAAAGATGTTACTTGTATTATTTAGAAAGAAATTTTCTGATTTAGTTTGATAGATGTTTGCATAATGTATATTTTACAACTACAAATTCTGGTATGGTATTATCTTGTCTGATCCATCCTAAAAGTAGTCTAGTTAAAATTGACAACATTCTAATCTTGGTCGAATCAGTTTGAACATCGCCTGAGACTGCTTAAAGTTCATATACCATGTAAAACATTTAAAATATTATTATTTAAAACTTTAAGCAACATGTGAATCCTTATTATATTTTCAGTACTGAGTAGAAGATAAGTATAGTTTTTATGTATGGATCCATATTATGAATATACAGTTTTAAAAATCAATATTAACTCATAATCTCGATTCTCGGGTAGCTTGCTGGTGGACTTGCTTGATTCACATGCAGAATGGTTTGAAGCCAATTATTTAATCTAATCTATTTCTTTTGTTCATTTTGACAAATGATGAAAAAAGAAGTGAAACAAATTGGGGGGACCTTAAAGCCTGAAGATTGAAAGTACTCCGATCCGTGGGCACACAATTCTACTTGGTATTTGCTCAAATGGTGTATGCCAAAAACTGGTCAAAACGGAGGAATTGGGCATATTGATCCTGGGATGCTGGAGTTTATGCATGGCAGGAAAGGAATGGGTTATATTGATGCAGAAGATGAAAGCTGATGCAGCTGCAAGAAACGAGAGGAGCGGCCTCAGGTGGGTTATAACGGAGAGTTTGTCGCATGAACAGCTAAACCGTGGAGGGTAACTCTGATCATGATCTTAAGGAGCTTGAAGTTTTGTGTATTCTTTGAAGCTCTTAATGGCTCAAAGACCAACAATGGGACTTCATAGATATCGAGTCGGATGCTCTTTAGGCGATATCGAAAATACAAAATGGTCTAAGCTAATGATATTTTAACGGATTGCTTTTGGAAATGATTTAAAATATTTAGATATATGTTAGTGCTGTGTTTGATATATTTTATACACTCCGTAGTATATATATTTGTCTCTTCTAAAAAATATATCTTTTATACACTCCGTAGTATATATATTTGTCTCTTCTAAAAAATATATCAAATACGGCACTAACAATTATCTAGAAATTTTTAGGGATTTGATCAAAATCAATCAAAAATAGAAACCAAAATAAAAAATGAAGAAATTAAAAAATGGAGGAGGATGCGAAGGAGGAGGAAGAGGATAGAAGAGAAGAATATTAACTTGGGATAGAGAAGAGAGAGGTGTGGCATCTGACGAAGAAGAGTTCGTGGAGTTGCGGCATATGTTGCAAAGAAGAGTGTGGCACATCAGATCTGAAAAGAGAGGATAGACGTGAAAGACAATCGATCAATTCCCCATTAATTTTTTTGCAAGGAATTCCCCATTAATTTTATTAAGGGTATAAAGTTACTCTAAAGTCTTACTCAATGAATAAAACATAAAAACTTCTATTTTGAAATTTGTCTATGTTTTAATTCTAGGGGGGTTTCTTGATATTTTATTATTAGAGTAACTTTAAGAGTTTGTTCATTAGATAAAAGTGGAAGTAATGGAGCATATAACTAGTGTGGCCAAACAAGTCTCATTATATACTGTGAAATTAAAAACTTGTGATCCTATTTTTGTTTTTAAGTTTAGTCCTATATAGGACAATTACTAATTAATTTAATGGGAAATGATAATTTTATTCATATTATATTGCAGCACTAAGAATCGGTCGGTTACGTTGTTATATCTCCGGCACATTGAACAGTCATCGCCATTGATTCTTCTGGCGGCAAATATTGTTCACCAGACTAGTGACACCATCTCACCAGAAGTATACTTAAAACTTGTGATTAATAGTAGGGGACATGTTTCTTATTTTTGATTACCTATCCGGTAGGAAACGGGTTCAGGGATCTGTTTTTCAAGGTTTCGGGGATCTGGTTTTCAAGGTTTCGCTTGGATTGAGATAACCAATGAAGTTGAAACAACGTGTTACATATTTTACAAATGAGTAGCAAATAACATTATCAATTTTGTTTGACTAGAATTAGTTTAAATTATAAATGTACAAGTGTATAAAAAAGAAAATTAATTTATTATACGCGTGTGAAAAGATACAATTGTAGATATAATTTGAAAAATTACGTAAACATAAGTTAAAAGTAACAAAATTTAGTGATTTTTTTATCCTTTTATTCTTTTAATATGATGACATAAATCCTATGTTTAGAGAATAAAACATTCATAATGATGTTTTACAATTTTTCCTATGTTTAACAACTATTTTGAACAATTTACTAAAAACTTTTGGTTATATATATGGGCCAAGTTAGGGTTGAGGGGAAGCTGCCCCCACATTGGATATGCCTCTAGTCATAGTTAAAATAAATAATTGTAGAAGTTCATTATTATAACTTTTTATATACTACTCCGTCTCCGTGGTATATAAAATGAAACATTAAAATAGTGCACAATATGCAAAATATCCAGGAAAAAAGACAAATATATTATTACAAAAGTGTCAAGATATTATATTATCGATTTCAAGTAACGATTTGCTTAATTAGTAGTCCGGAGTAGCTATGCAAAACAATTTGAAGCGAATTATTCAATCTATTTTTTCATTTTACCAACGGAAAAAAGAAGTAAAACTAATTGGGGGAAGGATCTTAAAAGGATAGAAAAATTATTTTGCGGGCACAAAGTTCAAATGGTGTATGACAAAAACTCTTTAAAATGTTCTAGCCAATGAAGGAGCCACAAAAAGTCATGTTAAAGGAGCCGTAGCTTTAACCATTTATGCTGGGTCAAATCTTAAAATTTCAGATATGTATATACATCAAATAAAATAATTGGGGGCCGAGGTGACAAGGCTGAGGCAGCAGTCAATGATTTTTTAAAAGGACTATAATTTGAAAAGTACAATAACAAGATAAAATTAATCAATGTATTTGCTCAGACAATAGCAGTAGGATTAGCATATTGATTTTCTGTTCGATTTTTATCGTTTTCGGTTCGGTTTGACTGAATTATTATCAAACAAAAGTCATACGTAGTACTCCGTATTATATTTTGGTTTGGTTCCGTTTGAATTGTTTTTTTTTAATAATATATGAACGTTTTATTGAATTCTTTTGTTCAATTCGATGAAACAAGACGGCAACACTGGCGAATTCGGGCTGAAATGGGACCTCTTCCGGCGGAATCTCCCTCACCTGACCAGATTTCCGTCGCACTGCTTGGCGTGGAGTACGAAAAAAATTATATCCTCAAAACTGATTTCAAAAGCATTATCAGCCCGCTCCCAGTTACCACACCGGCAACTACAATAGGTTTTAAAAGGTTGTCAGCCTGCTCCACAACTTGTGTGCCGTGGCTATTAGTTCTAAGCTAAATAAGCATGCTCAATTCCGATTTCTTTGATTAACTTGGTGTCTAAACCTTACCCCAATTCTAATAACGTGGGGTTATGGGAGATTTTAGATATCAAGTTATCAAAGAAAATCGGATTATGGAGGCTTATATTTTACTTTTTTCAAGTATAAATAATATTTTCTCTACTCGAATACATTTGAGATCACTAATACCGCTATGTTTTTTGTACTCGGATTTTAATTTTTTATTTTTAGTGATTCGATTATTGTTTAAGAGAAATTTTTTGTTCTTCCAAAGTTCTCCACATATATTCTTCCGAGTGTTGAGGATGTTTTCTTTTAAACTGTAATTTGCTGAACTGGTATGGTCTGATCTATTTAAGTGCGGTCTAATCTGATTTGATCTGGTCTAAATTGTTATGGCCTGACCTTGTAAATGTATGGTCCCGGTGTATTTTATAACTGTCCAAGT